CATGAAAGGAGTGAACACAACATAGAGAGGGGTTGCTCGATACTCCTTGTGTTCGCACATGTGGCGGTGAAAGGAGCTTCATAGCCAAATCAAGAGGATGGCCAAGTCGTTGAACCAGAAGGTGTAGACGTAAGAGGCCGGAGCACGAGAACGGTGACATTTTCTAGCTTTTTCCGCCAATTTTCCCCAATGCTTCCTATTCCTAAGACACACATGAAAGCTCTATGGTTCCTAGCTACGTCTTCTTCTTCCATTTTGGCTTTTCGTTTTTTGACACAGCTGCTACGTACCACATCAGTAGACCACTTTCTCTCCTTGGTGCTTTGCTTTGGCTGCTAGCACCTCACTATTGTATACTGTTTGATGAACCAATAGTGTGTAGCGAAGACTCAAACATGGGTGGTATATAAAGAGAGCAAAAGGTGCATTCATGGTTGAGGAGATGCGCGCCGAGAGGTGCATTTCATTTGGTCAGACTCTTCAAGATATTTAACTGAGAGCGCTTCTGTGTTTGTGCACATGAACAGAGCATATGTGAAATAACATCATGCTATTATTGACAAAAATCCGGTAGGTGTGGAGTCACTCTCAATAGATTTTGCAACTTGCCTTGTACCATTACAAACATTACATTAGGATCCCTAGCTAGCTATGAGCCTGTTCACTGCAACAACAAATGGGTCAGCATTCCAGCTGCACACACACAAAAAAAACATTATCAATTTTCCGAGGAATAAAAATGTTAAACTATACAGGTAAAGGTTCCTCCTTCAAAACACCCCCCATTTCCATTCTCCATGACCGGTCTACCAGCGGGTATAGTTCTCTGCAAAATGTTTTTAATCAGATATTTTGACAGCCTCAGTTAAGCATTGTGTTCAACAGTGGCTCCGATGGCGCACGGCTATACAAAAGTATCGTGTTCTATGGTGAGTACTAAATTACCTTAGGTCATGACTTACAACCAGTATGGTGTGGTCTTTCTTTAGGTCCCTCAGGAGATTCATAACATCAGCCCGAGCTTTCCAATCTGATGATGATGATACAAATTTAGTAACCACATCTAAGAGAGCATATACTATTTAAAAGAAAAATTATTTGAAACCACACAATATTCCTAGCAAGTCTGGGCTGTGGCACAAAGATGACAGGATGCACAAGCAGAATTATATTAAACAACTGCTCTCGCTGATGTGCATTTAGATGGGTTCACAAATGGCTCAATACAAGGGGAAGAAAATAATCTACAGATATTAGTTTGATATGGATATTCAAGTACATACCAAGTCCAGCGAGGGGCTCATCAAGCAACAATAAATCAGGAGTTTGAACCTAGAAAATAAGAAGATAAAGGCAAAATATTATCCATCTTCACTTCTAAAAACAGAACGATCCACCAGTCCTAATATAATGAAAACATTACCAGTTGAATTGCCAAAGCAAGTCGCCGCTTAAACCCACCACTGAGAGACTGTGGATCCTTATCCAATGAAATGGCACTTTGACCAACCTAGCGTTAAACAAATTATCTTCAGAAATCAATTGTGTGTGGTCTCAAACTACAAATTCACTCCGCAACGCAACAAAATGGTATGTATGAGAGATAATCATTACAGAGTTAATGGCATTCTGAAGTTTTAAAGTGAGTTGCTCCCTCAAAGGAATGTCTGCCTTTTGCCTTGGCCATCCAAAAGTAACTTCTTCAAGTATAGTATCTGATAAGAAGTACCTACAGGTTTAAAATATCTTATTTTGCAGTGAAACTTCTCAAGCACTCACAAAAAGCATAAGCATTCATGCTAATATGTAAAAAAAATTTATTAGTGAATGTAGTAATTCAATGTTTAAACCTCTCAGGAAACTGAAATACAATACCAACTCTTTGAGGAGCTAACACTTCCGACAGACCCATTGGATTTCCACTATCATCATACTTCTGAATGCAAATTGAACCAGAGGTAGGTTCTGATAGACCGGCCAAAAGCTGAGAAATCAAACTATCACCTTAAGATGAAAGATGCAGAGTTAAACATGTCATGCAGCATTTCAATGCAAACCTGTAAAAGAGTGGTATTTCCACTCCCACTCCGTCCAAATATCAAACCAAAACTGCATGAATTAGTTGTCTCGTCAATACAAAAGGCATCCAAGAAACACAACTATTACAATATAAAACGAATGCTTACCTTTTCTCCCGGAGAGAGACTAGTTTGATTCAATAAGTTTCGCTCAGTTCGAGGAGGTCGGTAGCTGACTTTTCTAACCTAAACAAGTGAAATTCAATATACGTCCATGTAATGTAAATGCAAACCATGGTTGCACGGATGTTATACAACGTACGGTATATCTGACAGTAGCAGTTCCCCAAACAATGGACTATTTGTTTAACATATTTGAGTTACAAACAACTTGTATTCAATCACCAATATTTATTATCGACATCAAAATTTTAATCCAGCTATTATGTATGTCTCCTATTAAAATCCCAATAGGCAAGGACGAAAGTACTACATGTGCATCATATACAATAACACTGAAGGACATAACAAAACAACAATTCAGGATACTTAACTACTGGATTATACCGATTGCGGAGTGCTACCTAGCTTTTGTGTGATAAGATGCTAAGATCCTGGGCTTGAAGACCCGTATAAAGATTTAGACAGAAGAAACGTAATGAAATCCAGATTTTCAACAAAAACTAGGGCCAGAGTTGAGGGAGATTCCTCAGTTTGGTGATTACTGAGAGTTAAACAAGTGAACTCACACATCACAAACAACCTATCAGATCTAAGAGTAATGAATCTTACCCGCTGACAAATGTTCGCCAACTTTATCAACATTAACACTACAACTAATTTGTCTCTCTAGATTAAATATAAAAAAATTGTCCAGACAGAACTAGGAAAAAATCCTCATACCACAAAAGAGGGGCAAGAAAAAAAATCACCTCCAACTGGGAGTACCCAGCTCAGACCCGTTCTGCCCGACATCTCCAAGAAAACCTCCTCGAAACCATCAAGGGACGCAAAGGATAAGAGCGAAAAAAGATGAGAGCACATACGGTTCAAGGATAAGAATGGCATGCCTTGTCATCTTAACCGGACAAGATGAAATCGCAGGAGGGAAAGCGACATGGGCGAGCATAGTTTCTAAGTGGTGGGGAGCTTCAGGAAGTGGGACTCGAACAGACGAGGGACTGGAAAGTGCAGAAGTATGGTCAGATGGAAACTGATGTGCAGCAAAGTGAAACAAATGCCTCAGTTTCAATTCAAGAGAACAATGTCTCACAAAAAAGATCAAGAGGAGGAAGATTGCAATTCATCTAGTAGCAGTTCAGCTATAAGCCCAATGTTGTCAATGGCATGATAAAGTAACAGTTTTGTACATTCACATCCTATAGAGACGAGATGATAAAGCTAGAGTTGATGCTTAGAATCAACTTCCTCGTGAAACTTCCGGCAATGGAGGCAGCAACTTCAGTATTGTCTACACTCTACAATACCAGAGAAGCTACTGTACATCAAACAAAAGCCTTAAACTTAGTTGTGGTTTCTTCACATTTCGTAACTAAGAAGGGTGCTATGTCAGGCTGCTAAGTTCAGTTTTATAACTAAGAATGACACTGCAACTGCAAAGCCGAGAAAACTACCTAGAATAGTGCACTAACATAGCGCACATTGGTGCTGCTCAGTTCCAGATTACAGAAAATCCACCGCATCTGCATTGAACAGCGGCCAGACGTGCCAGCTCCTGGTGTGCAGCTTGAGAAATTTCTCACCAGAGAGTCAGAAAACGCAGACTTCAGACGGACTGGGACGCTGAGGTACCAATCCTGGCCGCCAATGGAGCAGGGAGGAGATGCGGGCGTCGAGCGCCGCCGTCCTACTGCCACGATGGGGAGGGCGTCGGCCCGCACCAGCTCGGCGTCGACCAAGGAGATCGAGGGGGCGTTGGGCATCGCAGTCCTGTTGCCTCGATGGCCGGCCTGATGTCGACCAGGGAGAGATAGCAGAGGAGACGGGTGAAAGAAAAAACAATGAATTACGGAATCAGTTGATCTATACCGTATGTTTTTAATTCGATGCCTACCACAATAGTTTGCAAATTTTCGCTGAATGCGCGTTTTCACTGGATACTTCATTTATGAAGACGGGGGGCCATAATAAGTATACAAAATTTAGCAACCGTTCACATGACGACACCCTTTTTTTAGGGACATGATGACCCCTTTTAGTTTGCGGAGGGGTCGGCAAGGGAGACGGGTTCCTTGCCGGTGTTCCGGGCAGTGGCTGGTTTGGAGTGGTGCGATTGCCGGTGAAAACCGTGTCGACCTCGGTCATGGCAGACGATGGCGGCGTCTTGGGCGTCGTCTCCTTGTCGATGGCATCGCCGGTTACAATCGTCGTCACCTTGTTCCATTTGCTTCGGGGGAAACCCTAGATTTGGATTCCCGGATCGGACGATGAGGTGGCCTTCGGGGCCGCCCTCCCTCTTGGGGGCATCATTTTGGAGCAGGTGCTGGCGGGAGAGAGGACAAGAGGAGTGGTGTTGTGTCTACCGCAATGACGACGACGAGTCTCGCCGTCATGGCGCGGCGGAGCCTCGGCGACGAACGCGTCTTGATGGGCGCGAGCAGGTGGTGGAGCTGTCTAGCGTCGTCATGGCGTCAATGGCAGTATGGCCTGGCAATATGAATGCGTTGATCGCTTCTGAAGATGGGGACGGCGGAAGATGGTGGCGGTGGGTCCAGAGCATGCGCGTTGCGGGTCAGCCAGATCGGGTGGTGCTCTCGTCCCGATGCGGGGCAGCTGCGTGAGGTCACTGAATTAGATAATGCGTGTTCATGTGGTTCAGGCACAATATGAAGAGTGCAGATGTTGCAACTTTATTCGCCAGATAAGTGGCTTTGGGTTGATCCATGTAGTCATACTCTGTTGAATAATAATAAAGGTGGTTGATCGATGCAGAGGCCATGGGTAATCCTCCTTTTTGAAAAAAAAAAGTTTGTCGAGAGAAGCACTTTGTCTAAAGGATGCCTTGATCCCTTTTATCTATTGTATGAACTCTCATGGTGGAAAGGCGGTATGGTCCAATGGAGCGAGAGGGAGAAGGAACGGTCATGCTTCTGAATGCAAATTGAACCAGAGGTAGGTTCTGATAGACCGGCCAAAAGCCAAGAAATCAAGCTATCATCTTAAGATGAAAGGTACAGAGTATAACATGTCATGCAACATTTTAAATATTTAATGCAAACCTGTAAAATAGTGGTCTTTTCACTCCCACTCTGTCCAAATATCAGACCAAAACTGCATGAATTAGTTGTCTCATCAATACAATGCATTCAAGAAACACAACTATTCCAATATAAAACGTGTGCTTGCCTTTTCTCCTGGAGAGAGAGACTAGTTTGATTCAATAAGTTTTGCTCAGTTCCAAGAAATCGGTAGCTTACTTTTCTAACCTAACAGAAGTGAAGTGAAGTTCAATATACGTCCATGTAATGTGAAGACAACCCATGATTCCATAAAAGTTATACAACCTACGGTATATCTGATAGTAGCAGTTCCCCGAACAATGGCTTATTTGTTGAACATATGAGTTGGGAATGGTGGGCGGATTGGGTCAAGCAAACAATTCAATAAGAGAAGAATAGCTTATGGCTTAGAAATGATGAGCATTCATATGAAATCCATGGCTTGATTCTTAAGGTGATCCTGCACCCGATACATACTGTTTTTTTTTGAAACGCGGTTCCTTAGGGCCTGATTCATTAAAAAAAGGTCGAAGAGAGGTGCCTAGTTAATTAATGGAAAATCGGGCGAAAACCATCACAACATGCCTGCAAAAACAAGGCACACAGGGCGACCTGGCAACCCACACAAGAACGCACACACGCCGTCGAAGAGAAAACCACGAACAAGCGTCGAGGCCTGCGTCGGTCAATGCCAAACAGTCCACCGCACACGCCGACGACCAGGCAGCTCCGACTCTGTCGACGAGCATTGTAGGGGGGAAGCGTTGGGCCTGCGTCGAGCCGGCACCGGAACCGACCACCCGTCCCGTGTCATCGTCACCGCGGAAGCACCTCCTCTACAGCTCCGACTTCAGGAAGACAAATGAGGCACGGCAACCCTCGAACACGCCGGATGAGACCGACTACCAAAGCTCGGCAGCCACCCAACTTCGCTCAAAGCCGCCATCGTTGCCAGAGACATACTATTTGAAAGCCATTGTTTTACCAACCGGAGCCATGAAACTTTCAACCAAATAGGAGGGACCCGGAAGAAGAGACAAATGAAAACTATCTCTAGAGACAAATGACATCTTCAACCTGTAGCTAGAGCCATTCACTTTCATCTTTCATGTGTATGGATGGTAGGCTTTTGGTGCCTGACCGCGAAGAAAATATTTTGTCAAACGGAGGCAAAAGATTTGCCTGATATATTAAATGAGGAGGAGAAAGAGTTTGTTACAACACAATGCCCAGAAACGGCATGGCAATTACTCTCGCAATAAGAAAGACCCTAATTTTTTCGCCCCGGCTTTAACCCAAAGGTTAGACTCTTCGATCACATTGTTTAGCAAAACATGCGGAGGGGCACTCTTGTGTCTAAACACCCTTGAATTACTCTCATTCCAGATCATCATGAAACCAACATGGTTATCGAAGCCTTCGCTTTTTGGTTGGCGATGCCCTCGGTACTCAAACTCGCCCACCATTCCTTGATGGAGTCGTACAAGTGCCATGCGGACGTGTCCACGTCATGGATGCAGAGCTTCTGAATCACCATGTTCCAGAGCCTGAGGGTGAAGCGGCATCTGAAGAATAGATGGGGACCGCATTCCTGCACCCCTCTGCACAAGGGACAAGGGCCACAGTTTGGCCAGCCTCTCCTCTGCAATCTGTCTGCAGTCCAGATCATATCTTGAAGCGCGAGCCAAGCAAAGAACTTGACTTTCGGAGGGGCCCAAACCTTCCAAACCATTTGGTCCATGGGGGAGAGGACCAAGCCCAAAAACTGTGCCCTGTACACGGAGGCCGCGGAGTAGTTCCCGGAAGCCGTGTGCTTCCAAAGGATGTCATCGTCGGCAAGCTCATCAAGGTGGACCTCTTGGAGTAGCGTCCATAGGGTGAAGAATTGTGAAACATGCTCAATGGAGGCCGGTGTAGGTGGCCTGATTTTGAGAATCCACGCGCTCTCCTTGAGAGCCTCCCGCACCTTCCAGCGCTTCCGCGAGGAAGCCTCATAAATGAGCAGAGCGATGTCCCTGGGCTTGCGGCCTAGAAGCCAAGGAGAGTCCCAAAAAGGTGTCCGCGCACCATTGCCAACCGTGATGGTGGTACATGCGTAGAAAAAATTTAGGTCATCCTCATCACACGGGTTCCCACCTCCAACCCACAGCTTTGTGGGCTCCTTCCACTCATACCAAGGCCACCGCAGACGCAAGGCCCGCGCGAACTTGAAGGTGTTTAGGACCCCAAGCCCACCATAGTCAAGCGGCCTACTGACAGTGTCCCAATTGACCTTGCACTTTGCCCCAGTTGTCTTATCCGGTCCCGACCAAAGGAATTCCCACTCGAGTTTGTTAATGTTTTGCAGGATGGTGGTTTGTATGACAAGTGGCGTGATGAAGTAGATGACTTGGGAAGCGAGAACCGACTTCATGAGCGCCGCGCGTCCAATGGTGGTGCTGTTTTGGCCCTCATATGCTGTCAATCTACTCGCCACTTTATCCACTAAGAATTGAAGATCAGCAAGCTTCAGCCTCCAAATCGATAGCGGTAGCCCCAAATAACGCAGCGGAAAGGCAGCCCTAACAGCCGGCAGCCCATGGGTTATGCGGTCCAAGTCGAGGTTGCCATATCTAATGGGCACCATTGAGCTCTTATGGAAGTTAGTGCACAGACCGGTGATGTCCCCGAACCCCCTCAGAATGGCCGCCAGGTTGTCCACATCTCTTTTGATGGGCGCAACAAACACAGCCGCATCGTCCGCGTAAAGAGAGGTACGCACGATGACCCCTCTCCCACGGATCTTGTGCAGAAGGCCTTTCCTAGTTGTCGTGTCGAGGATTTGCTTCAAAGGGTCGATGGCAATGACAAAAAGGAGAGGAGAGATGGGGTCCCCCTGCCGAAGCCCTTGGCCATGCTTGATGGGAGAGCCAGATACCCCATTCAAGAGAACCCTTGAAGATGAGGAACAAAGGAGAGTCGCAATCCACTCCCGAAATTTGCTAGGGAAGCCACGCCTCCGCAGGAGGTCAAGCAAATACTCCCACTTGACGGAGTCAAAGGCCTTGTGAATATCCAGCTTGAACAGGAGAAAGGGGTCTTGCTCTTGTGCAGGCGACGAGCAAGGTTCCTAATAGACATGAAGTTGTCATGGATACTCCGCGTTTTGATGAAGGCACTTTGGGCGTTGGAGACGAGGGCGGACATGTGCGGTCCAAGCCTACTAGAGAGCACTTTGGCGATGAGCTTGGCGACCGCATGAATGAGACTAATAGATATGAAGTCAACGATGCTCTCCGCCCCATCCTTCTTGGGAAGCAACACAATATTCGCAGAGTTGAGCCAGTGGAGGTTTGTTGTGTGAGGGAGTTGAAGCGCTGGATCACCGCCATGAGGTCGAGCTTGACGATGGTCCAACACTTCTTGAAGAACAGGCCGGTGAAGCCATACGGCCCCGGGGCCTTGTCACTAGGCATGCTATTTATTGCCTCGAGGACCTCCTCCTCAGTGAAGGGCGAATCAAGCTCGTGCAGGTCATGCGTGCCTCGAGGACCTCCTCCTCAGTGAAGGGCGAATCAAGCTCGTGCAGGTCATGCGACTCTAGATTGAGCTCCTCCCAATTGAAGTCCGTCGTACTTCCGCTTCCTCTTTTCATGACATGCGAGAAGTGGTCATGGATTATCTTCTCCTTGGCCTTGCGTTCGGCTACCCACCCTTGATCGTTC